CATATCGTCGGTCAGAAACAGTAATGGAACATTTCAAAATGATACGTTTTTGGGTACTGAGGTTTAAAGTTTTTGGAAATATTCAAATGTGATTTTACTTTACTTTTAGGTAATTTTATGTTTTTTTATTTATTGAATTATATGTAGATTATAGCCAAGTTTATTGTACTTTACAAAGATTTAGGTTTTTATTTGTAGTTTTTGAGTTATCAGGTTTTTTATGAATTGTGCCAATAATGAATTAAACATTTTATAAAAAATTTAAAACGAATTAGAATATTTCTAAATATGCTAGTAATGAAATGAAAAAACTATCAATTTCGTAATCTTATTGGTTTATTTAATAATAAAGAATGAAAACAGAAATCTTAAAATAATAAGTGCTTCAAATTAATCATTTTCGTTATGCTCATCGGGTTCAATATGATTGTCTCCAGCCTCTAAACTTGAGTAATACTCTCGGTATACCCTTGGAATGACATTTGAGTCGCATAAAGCAAGCAAGTCTTTTTTTTTTAGGTTTGATATCTTTGGTCGCTGGTGGTACTTATTTCGTAGATGTAGTTCAACATTTGCAGCACTTCTGCCCCTGGTTCTGTTGCGCACATTTAGGCACTTCATTGTTGAATTCGGTTCATAGGTGTCGTTATAAAATACCAAGTATGGAGAAGACGCCTGCATATAGATTTTTTTTATTTCATTCCATACGACACGATCACCGTCATTATTAACGGTGAAGTTTTTGCCAAACTGCGTGACTAAGTCCTTCAAATCGAGAATGTCACTGAAGTCCAATTCATGTACCTCGTAAGGAGTCCCACATTTCTTGGCACATTGTATTACTGATTTCCATTGTGTTGGCACAAAAATGGATCCATTTTTCAGTATTCGTGTTTTTTCCCGTTCAATAGTGCTATGCACGCTATCACCTTCGTTTTGGGTGTGTCCAATAACTAAATATTTGTGTGTTATTGACACAACACCCAAAACTTTGATAGCATAGTGGTAGAGACTTAGCAGGTATTTATTTTTATTTTGTGCAGAACAATTGTCAGTGTAAAAAAAAACATTTTTTCCAACACAGTGGTCTTTCAGAAATTTGTAAATGCACGTCCCAACTTCATCGCAACCTTTTCCTCCTAATGACTCATTCCATAGATAGCAATAGGCAGCTTTTGATACAACGTTAAATACGGTGCAGTTGTATACATTGAGTCTTCTTTTATAAAAAAATAGGGAATCGTTTCCGCATGGTGTCTGCAAAACTGCCTGCATGTCATAACAACAAATTATTTTGTTAGCATCATTTTTGCATGTTTCTATGTCCGATTTCTTTTCCAATCTGCACAAATCTCTTTCTTTTAAATGTTTTTCATAAGTGTACTTCAGTTGTAACTTATCATCACCTACAGCATTTTGATAAGACAAACAAATTGAACACTGATCCTTCTTGGGCTTGTGAAATGCAATGTTAAACTCATTTCGAAAAATGTGTTCATAAGTTCCTTGCTTGATGATAGGTTTGCTATTCTGATGGCACCATTCCTTGTATTGTCGATACATCATAGTCAAATTTAAGTCACCATCAAGGTATTCTTTTGTAGAACTTGCCCGACAGTAATGAGACTCTTTTCTCGGATAGGAATTTATATGTTCCCTTGCACCATCTTTGTCAGCCTGTGGTAAACATCTACCGGTATTACCATGGCGCCCTCTACGATCTTCTGGTATTATACCCGAAGCTTTCTTTTTATTTACTGTAGATAAAAAAGAATGTCCTATGTCCAACGTTGCCATAAAAAATCGTTTGCATACTCGAATTTCCTCTGAATTTATTGTAAACTTGTATGATACATTCAGGGATCGCTTACTATCTTCCCTGTGTAGCGAATACTTTGGCTTTACAACTCCCATACAACTAGCAACAAAGTAGCGCTGTCTTCCAAGGTCGCCAATGCCCCAGAAATCATTGAATATGTTTAACCTTTTTTCTTCATTAATTTTTTCTGTACATTTCAATCGACAATCAGTTGAACATGGAGGTTTTAGTTTTTTAGCAGGTATTGTGTTTCCTTTAACTGTTTGGTAAGACTCGCCTGAGTTCTTCAAACTTTTTTTTACATTTTTTTGCCATTTTTCAGGCTGTCTCTTCTTCTTTCTTGATCGTTTATCATTGGTTTTTAAATCTCCACCTTCTATCAAATCTGAATCATGTGGGCCTACGTTATTCAATTCGTTGTTTGTTTCGGCGTCCACCACAGGTATATCTACCTCTTGATCCAATTCACAACCTATAAAAATAAGGAAATAATAAAAACAACGTACAACTCTTGCCTAGTTACCATCTTTAAAAATATTTAAAAGAGTAATTCCTAATTAATGTAGTTGGTACCTAAATCTTCGCAATCTGTTAAATCTGAATCTAGTCGGTCGTTTCTATCCACTTCTAACACAGATTGATCTGGTTCTTGATCCAACTCACCACCTATAAAACATAAAAAAACAATTCAAACTTGATTCAAACCAACATACCCACAACACAAACCTACTTGTGTTCTTAAAAAATATTTATATAAGATACAGGCACTCGCCTAGTTTAAGGGGCAGGGTCTCAATACTCTACCTGTATATGTACATGATGTACTGTTTTTGCACAATAAACCATTTTCATTTTCATTTTTCATTTTCATTTAAAGGAGTAATAATTATTAATCGTATGTTAGTAACTACCTAAATCTTCGCAATCAGTTAAATCTGAATCATGTTGGTCTAGGTTATCCAAGCTGTTGTTTCTTTCCATTACAACCGCAGGTTGATCTGGTTCATGATTCAACTCACCAACTATAAAACACAAGGAAACCAGTAAAACAAAGTTAGTACTTAAGTACCTACAACTCGTTCTTATACTTTCCTAAAAAATATGTAAAGAAGTAATAATTATTTAAAGGGGTAATCACTATTTTAGTACCTAGCATAGGCTCAGCATACTCCAGAAATACAGTAGATGTCGCTTTAAAACGTTTATTTGTAATCTCCTCCTGCTCTATAGACCTCTTTTCTGTTATTTTATAAGTTGTATCATTATTTTGAAGACCTATGTTAGGTAAGTTTAAGTTATTTTCTTCATCCATAACAATTGACTGCAACAGCTGATCTGATTCGATACCTGTAAACAAATAAGTTTTTTGTAATATTTTTTTCAAATCGCAAATCAAATACTTATCAGCCGAATCTGTTCAGCTGTTTTTGATTGCTTCGACATCACTACTCGCTAAGCACATCCCTAGTAGTATCGGAACCTGTCACAAAATCTATTATTATATATCTACTTACAAAAAAACATTTCTTGCCCACTCATTTTCTTATCCGGTTCGGTCTGATGACCTTCTTGACCTTCGACAACATTAAACGTAGGATTTTCTTTACGTACAGTATTTAATTTTAATTTTGTCTCTGGAACAAATTCCACCACACAACCACCACCTAGTAAGCATAAAAAACCTTACACTTTAAGCTATAGAAAGCTCGATTTTTGTCAGTATTTCCTTTTTTACATAAATTATAATTTATGTTTTACACACGAAAATACGTAGTTAGCTTAGAATTTGGTAAAGGTACTTAGGTTACCTTTTATGGAAGTACGGAATAACCTAAGTACTACTCTGACAAGCTTAAGCAAAAATAGACCCATACCAGTAGGTATTATAAGTTATCTGAAGCTTAGCATCAGCATAGCTCAAACATCTTAGCCACCATTCCACTTGTTGCTAAGTTATTTTAAAACTTACACACATGAACTAAAAGTTAGGTTATATTATGAACAAATTGTATAAAACTTACCGCTAAACTGATCATCATCACTCTCTGTCCTGGTCATTGCTAATTGTAGCAATTTTTTAGCTCTAGAACTCATTACAGATACTTGTTTAACGATACTTTTAATAATTATTTAAGCTTCGTCTGTGACCACTACGCTGAGCGTTCAAAGCGCAACTGGCACAAAACACGAATAAACAACATTCAAGTAAAAAATTTCAGAGTCGTACTGGAACATTTCGAAATATTCCATTAATGAACTATGGATGCGCTTACGAATTTTGGGTGGCAGCGGCACATTTCAAAATAAACTGATACTGAAAACGAAGATATTAATAAAATCAAATTTTCTTTAACGGAATAAATAGTTTTTTGTCAATTAGAACTACAATTTGAGTTGTACCGTTAGTGATTTGGATAAATTATTAAATTCCTTACCATTTTACATACTTATCTCAAAACACGTGATTTTTGAAATGTTCCGGTAATGAATCCGACCGACGATATGTGAAATCGAGTAAATAATAATAATAATATGGTAAGAGACCAAAATGTGTCTACCCATGACAAACCGGTGTTGCTAATGAGATTATAAACGCAAAAAGCAATATAATAGCATGGGATGTATTGAACTATCTTTTCATGTTTTTTATATTATGTTCGATTCGATTTTATATTTGACTAAAAGACAAATACCAATTGTATTATTCACTGCCTTTTAAGTACTTATTTACTAATACTTTATACTAGCTACTTCCGCGCGGTTTCACACGCTCTGCCAGCCTTCCTCGATAAATGCGCTATCTAACACAAAAAGAACTTCAAATCAGACTTGTAGTTCCGAAGATTAGCGCGTTCAAACAAAAAAACAAACTCTTTAGCTGTATAACCCTTATTCAAACGCAAGCCTGTGGAGGAGTTAACAAAAAAGTAACATACGTTCCTAGGTAATTTTGGGTCGTAGATTCCAAAAATCCACACAAAAGAGGGGTTAGTGGGGGGGGGAAGTACCCTTTTTTTGGTGGGAAGTATATATCCCGTCGTCTGTTCTCTGTTGTAACAAAGTTGGAAAGGTGGGAACTATAGCTCCCAGTGTCCAGTATGACATCGATATTTCCAAACACTAGCTAGTCGCCCTGGCTCCACTTGTGAATTAAATTTTAACGTAAAAAATAACATTTATCAAATTTTTTTTAATAAAGGAGGTAAAAGTACTAATCAATGCAAGTTTCTTTTACTAAGAGAAAAACTCGAAAATTGGAAAATGAATGACTTCACCATACATTTTTAGTTGAGTAGTTCTAGCTAGATATAAATTTGTAGTAGCAAGTAACTTGCACTGGTTTGTACTTTTCGGCACTCGGGTAGTCAATAAAATAAATTATTATAATTGAAGTTTTTTATTCATATTGTTTGAAATTATACTTATACTTATTACGTATTAGGAACTGTTTCTATAATCACATTGATCAGACTATCTTTTTCATGTCAGTCTTTCATTTATCATTTAAAAAATAAAATACAAATACGAATAGACTAGTCTATTCAGTTTCAGTAGTATGGAACCTTTCAAAACATTCCTTGATGCATAGAGGTACGGTGCAAGTGGAGCATACAATTTTTGTCCTTTTCTCTCGTTTTCTTGTGCTACAGAACCATCTCTTATAAGTGTTACTCTCTTGGGGCATGTGTATACCTAAATTTGATAACCGAATCTCTTCCGGCACTCCGAATGAGCCTCCTTTCTTGCTTGTAAAGGGTATATTTGGGCGTGCTTTTTTTTGAGAGTAATTTTTTATTAGCGCACGTGCCAAACGTAGTCTAAATTCACGGTGTGAATGTAGTGTTATGGCATGTGTTACACTGTACGTTATGTATTTAACATAATTTCACTTAACTTTTAATCTTTAACTATCTTTATTTCACCGGACTCTGTGATTACTATTTGTGAGGCACGGGACGGCGGTAGTATTTCTAGAAAATTTTCTTGGGAAGTTTGAATTGGTAACTGACCTGGAGGTAGACAATTTGTATCGTGAGATAGAGGTGACTGGTATGTGGAGTGATCAGGAGGGGAATGGTATGTTGGTGATGGACTGAATGCTTGATGGCGCGGAGACAGGGATGTGGAGTGACTTGGAGGTGACTGATATGTCGGAGGATTTGACGATGGACTTGTTGGCGATGGACTGATTGCTGAATGGCGTGGAGACAGGGTTGTAGAATACTGAGGTACTGAAGACTGTTGGTCAAGTCGATCTGCCATACATGCACGAAATACTAAATTTTGAATATCATTCATTAATATGTCACGTGTGTTTGGATTTCTAATTTTTTTTTAGTTTAGGTACTTGCTAGCAGTCTTCCGAACATTTCGTATTCATCATCTTTCTTCTCTTTCATGAATTCAAAAGCCTCGTCCATTTGACGTCGTGCTGCTTTGATTTCTTGAGGCAACTCGTCTCTTATTTGTCTTTTTTTACCATAATTTTGAGAACATTTATTTTCTCTTGGACGAGATCCATTTCTTCTTGTATATTTTGCGAAACTTCTTCTGTGTTTATAGATAATTGAGGATTATTCTCATTTCCATCACACTTTACCTCACTTCCTTCTTGAGCCATATTGTCATCATGTGTCTGAAAGAATATTTATATTTAAATTAGTCTGTTACTAATTAAATTTAATTATTAATTATAATTAATAAAAAACGGACAGACATAACAATCACACAGGACAAGTGGACAGACAGATGGACATAAATACGTAAACCGTCAGACAAACAGATAGAAAGCTAAGTAAAATTCCTAACCTTACCTCAGTATTTAATGTCCGGCTACTATCATATACTCCTCGCAGGAAATTATCCATCGTTTCGAATGCAAACCAATTAGTTGTGTACACTTCATCTAATGGAAATAAAACTCAACATGCTCTCATGGTGGCGAACAGTGAACTAAAACTTTATTTCTTCCGGAAACAGATCAATCATACAGAAGGAATGAAATCAATAAATCAATAGAGTGAAATTAGCACACGGAATTACAAACTGTCATTCCTTATATTTAAATTATCTAATAGTGCCAATAGATGGCGTTAGTTGTTTCATTTGATGCACAAATTCTAACACCCCCACTGCATCATATGAAACATACAATAAAACTGATTACAAATCAACGAGCCCCATAGCCATGGTACATTTATAATGCTTTGCAGCACCCAGTGACTTAGTCAAAATGTCAGCTGGCATATCATTAGAACAAAGATATTTAATATTTATTACATTACCTACTGTTTACAGCATCTCTCAAAAAATGGTAACGGATATCTATATGTTTACTTTTTCTATGTAAAGCATGATTAACAATAAACTTTTGAGCACTTTGACTATCATTATATAAGACAATAGGACACAGATCATGATTGGTTATTTCAGACAACAATACTCTTAAATACATAGACTCTTTACATGCCTCTGCCATTGACATAAATATATTCGGCCTCCATACTGGAGAGAGCCACGGTTCTCTGTTTTCTGCTTTCCCATGATATGACACCCCCTGACATCATAAAACAAAATCCTGTATATGACTTACGGTCAATACCATTATTAGCCCAATCGGCATCTGCAAATCCTAACAATTCAGAGTTTCCCTTTACATACTTTATACAATAGGTTTTTGTTCTCTTCAAGTACCTAAGTATACGTTTAGCATAATTCCAATGAGTGCTGTTATGACATGAATTAAATTGACTTAAAAAACTTACACTAAAAGCTATGTCAGGCCTTGTTAACACAGACAAATACATAAGGCTGCCTATTAATTGCTGATATGGAATATTACTATCATTTACATTATTATTTTTATCAATATTTAACTTCAACTCCATAGGTGTACTAGCCTCTTTACAATTTGACATATTAAAGGAGAACGGCAGATTTCGTACCGCTTTGCTAAAAAAAGATTTGTCATTGTTTTGTCTGATATTCAATAATGAAGAAGCAATCAACAAAACGGCTACATAAATAAAAAACAAACCGCGATTGACGTTTATAAAGTTGCCATGCGTAAACATGAAATCAGTGTATAGTGAATGCCGCTATTTCATAAACTCATTTATTTTAATATCTAACAATGAAATATTTTCCTTTCCATTTCAAACATTTTTTATAAGTAAATATCATTATTTTAATTTCATTTTGTGAGGTCTACATGGATTATTAACGATAATTAACATTTTCACAACTTGAATATGGCAATGTTGAACTGGTATTTGACATTTGTTGTTGAAGACGATTTGTCAATGTCAAGTGCGCCTTGCTGTTGGTTTCGAATGCGGTGTTAAGATGTGTTTGTACAAATTGGAAGTCATTTTATTTATCTGGTGATACGTTGAGTTGGGCAGCCGTTCCTCGGTAGCCGAAATTGCGAAAATACACTTATTTTCATTTGTGCATAGTGTGTTGTATTTTGTCGCGATGACGAATTTACAGTGCATTAATCACAACCAGAGTTTGTCGCATGAGACGGCATGCTCTAGGAAATGAGAGTTAAGACTAGACGTGGTCAACAATATCCCATTGTGGACTTATCCTAGAGATGTAAGTAGGTACTTACCTAGTTTACACATGACGTATCGAAAGTCACCTTGTTGCCTAAATGAAGGGGGCATAGTGTTATCTACCTATAATGTATCATTTTATTCTAGATCTCTCCATATTTGCCATGCTTACTGGCAATTAGCAATGTATTGGGATGTTCCTGAAAGTATGTCCAGCAAACAAACTGATCATCAACATGTCTGTGTCGTATGTGGGCATTCCATTGCAAGGATAAGGTGACGCAGGGGTTTAATTGAAGGCGCCAACGAACAAGAGCAAAGACTAGCTCATATAGTATCTGATTGGATTCAGCCACGAGAGGTAATAATTTATTGTATTAACCATATACTATTATCATATAATTTAAAGTCAATATGACATTCTAATAATATTACTTTTTTTAGCTTACTTCCAATGATGAAGATCGTGTTCCATGCTGGCTGAGAGCCTTAACAAGAGTCGGATCTATAAGACCACAACCTGACATACCACCTCATAGTGTTCACTATCAGGATGTAATGTGTTATGTAAACATGGACTAAGCCTCACTTTAACATTGCCGTTTGTAGAACAGATGAGGCCAGAAGA